TCGGGGTGCGGCAAGGAGAAGTTACCTATACGGAGAAGGAATGGCGGAGGGGGGGAGGAACTGGAGGAGGAGGAGCAAGAGGTGGAGGAGGAGGAGGTGGACAAGTGTAAACCCAAGAGTCATCAACGATACACCCTCCCCCAAACTCCCCCTTCATAGGCCCCTACAACGGTCCATTGCCATTGAGGGAAGTGCCTCGTTGGAAGACATCCGTTTCAAGATCCTGAACCATGCCAAAACATTGTTTTCGGGATTTCAACGCCATGTAACTGCTGCAGGTGGCGAACTGGAATCGTGTCATAATTTGGTGCTTACACCGCGAACCAACATTGGTGTTGCACCCGCATAGTGCTGAACCTTTCGAAAATGTGAGTAATTTTACAACGAATGCGCGCGGCGATAAAGTGCGAGCCACATTTTGAAAAAGGAACCTCACCCAATACCCTTGCAACGTTGTGAAAAGAATGTGCGCGTGAAGCCCTTGCAAGTGTGTAAAACCACTGTGCGCGGCGCTAAGGCGAAAACCACATTATGGAAAGGAACCGCCCTCATTCCGTCAAGCTCTTGCAAGATTTTGCAAACACACGTGCGCGGAACAAAGGCGAAAAGCACAGTTTGAAAAGGAACTGCCCTCAATTCTTGAAACGCTTGCATTCGTTTGCAAGAAACGCTCGCGACGCTACAGGCGAGAGCCACATTTTGAAAACCACCTGCCCTCAATTCTTGAAGCTCTTGAAATTCTTAGACAGAATGTGCGCGAGGCACATTTTGAAAACGAGCAGCCCTCAATCCGTGAAGTCTCTGCACATGTTTGAAGCGAATGTGCGCGGCGCTCAGGCGAGAGCCACAGTTTGAAAACGACGCGCCCTCCACCTGTGAAACGAATGTCAGTTTTCAAGCTTCAGGTTCGTAAATGGTGAGGACGTCTTAGGCGAAGCCCGCCCCAAAAGCTTGCTTCGGGGTGCGGCAGGGAGGAATTATCTATAAGGAAAAGCATTGGAGCAGGGGGGGAAGGAGGGGGAGGGGGAGGGGGCAAGCTAGGTGCGCTCGCGTCATATCTGACGTCCTACCCCTCCCTCCCATCCCTTACCATGGCGCTGATTTTCTCTATCCGCGGACGCGTGTCGTAGCGGACCTGTGGCTCCGCGCGCGCGTGCGTAGTGGGTGGTGGTGCACGTGCGTGCGTGCGTGCGTGTGTGCGTGGTTGTCGTGGTGGTGGTGGTGGTGGTGGGTGGTGGTGGTGGTGGTGGTGGTGATGGTGGTGGTGGTGGTGCTGGTGGTGGTGGTGGGTGCTGGTGGTGGTGGTGTTGGTACTGGTGCTGGTGCTGGTGGGTTGTGGTGGTGGTGGTGGTGGTGGTGGTGGTGGTGGTGGTGGCGGTGCGGCGCGGTGGTGGCGGGCGGATGGGCGCGCGAGAAAGAGGCCCGCGCTGGGGCGAGAACGCCATCCTGAACGACGGAGGCCAAACACCGATCCGAAAATGAGGCCCACGCTGCAGCGGGAGCACGATTCGGAACGATTCGGGAGCAGAAATGAGGCCGGCGCCTCAACCAGAGCAGCATTTTGGGAAAAAATGACGCCGGCGCCTCAGCGAGAGTCGTTTCCCAGGATTTCCCGGGAACCCTGTGTGTTAAACAACAGTACGCGGAGGGTGCGCGGCCATCACCCGGACGCCATCAGGGGAAGAGGGAGAGTATTTTCATATTGAGTAATTGTAAAGGGGGAGAAGGAGGAGGAGGAGGAGGAGGAATATGAGGAGGAAGTGGACGAGGAAGAGGAGGAGGAAAAGGAGGAGGAGGAGGAGGAGCAGGAGGAGGAGGAGGGGAAAGGTAAACAGGAGGAGGAGGAGGAGGAGGAGGAGGAGGAGGAGGAGCAGGACTAATGATAAGAAGAGGAGGAGGAGGAGGAGGAGGGGGAGGAGTAGAAGGAGGAGGAGGAGGGGGAGGAGAAGGAGGAGTGGGGCGGGAAAGGAGGAAAGGGAGGGGGATGATTATGATGATGATGATGATGATGATGATGATGATGATGATGATGATGATGATGATGAGGAGATGGTGATAATGATGATAATCATGATGATGATGATGATGATGATGGTGGTGGTGATGATGATGATGATGATGATGATGATGCTGATGCTGATGCTGATGCTGATGCTGATGATGATGATGATGATGCTGATGCTGATGCTGATGATGCTGATGCTGATGCTGATGATGCTACGCATGATCCTGATGATGGTGATAGTGATGGCGATGGTGATGATGATGCTGCTGCTGATGATGCTGATGCTGATGCTGATGCTGATGCTGATGATGACGATGATGATGATGATGATGATGATGATGATGATGATGATGATGATGATGATGATGATGACGATGATGGTGATCATGGTGATGGTGATGCTGCTGATCATGATGATGATGAGGAGGAGGAGGAGGCGGAGGAGGAGCAGGAGGAAGAGGAGGAGGAGGAGGAGGATCAGGAGGATTGACAACGGAGGCGGTAGAGGAGGAGGAGGAGGAGGAGGAGGAGGAGGAAAAGGAGGAGAACGAGGCAAAGGAGGAGGATGAGGAGGGGGTGGATCGGTGGGAAAATGTGAAAAGGAGAAGGAGGAAGAGGTGGCGGAGGAGGAGGCGGAGGGGCGGGGTCTACGCACTACAGCACACCTTCGCCACCGCCACAGATGGCAGAACCCCCCCCCCCCACGCACGTGAAGATCTTCCCAAAACAGCTTTCTCATGATCTGGGTAGCCCACTGCTGCCGCGGCGGGTAGTAGTAGTAGTAGTAGGTAGTGGTAGTAGGTAGTAGTAGTAGTAGTAGTAGTAGTAGTAGTAGTAGTAGTAGTAGTAGTAGTAGTAGTAGTAGTAGTAGTAGTAGTAGTAGTAGTAGTAGTAGTAGTAGTAGTAGTAGTAGTAGTAGTAGTAGTAGTAGTAGTAGTAGTAGTAGTAGTAGTAGTAGTAGTAGTAGTAGTAGTAGTAGTAGTAGTAGTAGTAGTAGTAGTAGTAGTAGTAGTAGTAGTAGTAGTAGTAGTAGTAGTAGTAGTAGTAGTAGTAGTAGTAGTAGTAGTAGTAGAGTAGCAGTCTTGGGGATGGTGGCCGCTTGCGGGGGCATAGGGGGGTGAGGCATTCCCGCTACCTGCCCTGGCGAGCGTGGCCGGCGCTGCCGCCGTCGGCCTCTGGGACGCCCGAGGGGTTTTTCCATGGGCAGAGGCACGGGCCCTTGGGCCCGTCACCGCCTCGAGCGGCTCCTCGATCATCCGATCTTCCTCCTCCTCCTCCTCCTGCTCCTCCTCCTCCTCTTCCTCCTCCTCCTGCTCCAAAAGGGGCCCCGCGGAAGCCTCTGCCCCCTTCTCAACCTGCGCAGCACCCTCCCTTTCAGGGCAGGAGGCCTATCCGCCTCCAAGAGGAGCGGCCCGCAGGCCCGAGCCCCTGCCGAGCCAGAAGCGGTCCTTCTCGCAGCGTCTTAACACTCCGGGCGCCGCCTGCCACCGCGCCGCCCTCTGCCTGTTGGGTTGGAGGCCCAACGCACCTCCCACCCTTCACTCAGGAGGGGAAAAAACACACAGGCACAATTAATCCTCGATTCCCAGGAAAATATGGGAAAATATGGGAATTGGGGGGGAAGACAAAAACCCAGAAAATATGAGAAAATATGGGGACTATTTTTATTTGTGTGTATTTATTTGTGTGTCCTAATTTCCCTTTATTCACGTTGCTTGGCCGCCGTCCACCCTGGACCCCCGTCCATCCTCTGCACAGGCGGGCACCCCATACGGGGGAGGGGGCCTGGGGCGCCCTCCAGGGCGGTGGCGCGGTGGCCCAAGAGGGCCACGCGACCCGCAGGGGGGAGGACCTAGCATAGGCCCCAGGGCCGCCACGCCCGTTTAACCGCTGCCGCCACATCCCGCTCCACCTACCTTTCCTACCACTTCGACATTATTTAATCGCTTCGCTCATTCCGCCGGCCCTAGAGCCCTCTTTAGGGTCTCTTGGGGGCCTTTTGGGGACCTCTTGGGAGTCTCTTGGGGCTCCTTGGCGGCGTCTCGGGGGCCCCCAGGGCCTCTTAGGGGGGCTCTTGGGGGGCTCTTGGGGGGCTCTTGGGGCGGGAGGGGGGGTAGTCGATTGCGGCTCCTCCCTCGGAGGCGACGATCTTCGTGAGGGGTGTCGAAAAATGTCCCTTCCCTAGATTGCTCTGGGGGCTTCTCCCGGGCTTCTGCCGGGGTACTTTTCGTCCGGGGACCCCCAGGGGCCGCCCCGCGCGAGCGAACTAAAAATACTGTGAACCAGTTACCGGAGATCTTAGCACGCCTCTGGCCCGTTGGGCCAGCGAATTTTTTTGATGGTGCGATGTCTCTCCTCCTCCCTCCGACCTCATCTGCGGAAGTTCGGTCCCGCATGTTGTTGTCTCGTCCCCAGTGGCGGCCCGGTCGGGCCCCCTCTTTGGGAAGCTGCGACGTCTGAAGACTTACGCGCCGCGAGGGGAACCAGGACGCGCAGGAGAAGGATAAGGAGGAGGACGAGGATGGAGGGAAAAGGAGGTGGAACGAGGAGGAAGGAGGAGAAGAGGGAGTCGAACGAGGGGGGAGGACAGAACACGGAAGAGGATGGCGGATCGGAGGAACATTGAGGAACGAGATGGAGGGAATAGGGCGGAGGTGGATGGAGGGAGGCGGAGAAAGAAGACGAGCGGAGACGAAAGTGGGAGAGATAGAAGAACGTCCCTAAGGGCTTGACGACGTTTCGCCGATCGACTTGTATGGATCGAGCCAGATAGACGCAGCTAGATCGAAGTCAATCCAAGCTCATATGGGCAAATCCAGGTCAACCCTAAGATCTCCAAGGACAGTTTGAGCAGATCGCGGCCGTTCCATCGCGAGACGACGGACGGCAGAAGTCGTTAAGATTCTAATGAGGAGGAAGAGAAGGGGGGAGGAGGAGGGAGGAGACATGGAGGGCGAGCGGAGCGGCCCTCACACACCGCGCCATTCGCGGCCAGGCTCTCGCCGCGGCCGCCCGGGAGGAGGCGGCCAAGGCCGAGGAGGCTGCGAAGAGGGCGGTCTCCGCCACCCAGACGCAGGAGGCGCCCCTGCCCTACAAGCGGGCCTTTGGCTTTTCCTGCACATGTTTTGCTGATTCTGTGGACTTCGCGCAAACCGGGGCTCACTTGCGTTGTTTTTCGGCCCAGCGTTGCTTGAAGAGGCGGCAGGGAGGATGGATGGGGGGTAGGAAATGCCATGCCAGACGCTTGCCTAAGCCGACGGGAGGTGTCGGTAGCATTCCGCTTTGGGGGGCCCTCACATTGCCCCAGGGCCGTGAACAAAATAGGATTCGGGATGGAAGTCTAGCCCCGGGGACGGGGTCAAAATCTCACGGGGTGGACGAATTGAAAAATCACGACGTCGGAGGGTTGGGGATGACGAGGAGTGGCGAGGACGTTCCGAGTTTGAGGTGTTCGGACGTTTTCATGGGCTCCCGGACAGGACAAACGTCAGGAGGGAAAGAACACACAGACACAATTAATCGTCGATTCCCAGAAAATCTGGGAAAATATGGGAAGTGGGGGGGAAGACAGAAACCCAGGAAATATAAGAAAATATTGGGAATATTTTTGTTTGTGTGTATTTATTAGTGTGTCCCAGGGCCCCTTCAAGAAGCCGACAGCCTGAACACGACTCGCCGTGGGTGCCGCCGCTGGCGTCGCCCTGTTGGAGCACAAGGTGTCGCCTGCCTAACAGCGGCCTGTGTCGGCTTTGGATAATGGGGAAACCAAAAGGTACTCCAGATTTCGTAATAAAAGGGAGGGGTTCTCAACCCTCCCAGACGAGAAGTTTTAGACCCTCCCAGACCATCCATGAAAGGGGCCCTTTGCCCAGACCTCCCCGAACCCCCCAAGACAGCTCAAATCAGACCACCCCCAAATGTGACCCCCCCGACTTTATTATGGAATCCGGAGTACCAAAACCGATGCCCCCCAGACCTCTCCTAGGGTGCGTTCTGACCAGGAGCGGCGGATCCAGCGGTGGCGACGAGGGCAGCACAGGAGGCCAGGAAAAAGGTGAAGACGAGTGAAAGGGAAGCGTCACCGGTGCTGTTTCCTCTGCGACGAGGCTAGGAGGAATCCCTTGCTGAGCAGGAGGAGGAGTCCTTCGCTGAGGCTTTATTGTGAGAGGGGTGGTTTGTAACCTCCTTGGGTTACTCATGGGGCTCTGTCGGGGCCCTCTTTGGGTTCTCTTGGGGTGGGCATTGGGGTCCTCATGGGGCTCTTCGGGGGTGTCCTTGGCAAGAAGGAGTCCTTGGTCGATATTCGGCCTCATGGTTCGAAATTGGGCGGTCCGAAATCCAAGCCAAGCCTCCCTCATTTCCTTGGAGGCTGAACAATTGTCTCTCAGTGCTCTTTTGGGGCACTGTTGGGGCCGAGGCAGTCTCGGGAGGACCACTTGGGTCTAAGTATTCTTGTTCTGATCCTTGCCCCCCTCGTGACGTAGATCCAGCACTTGCTCACCGGGGCATGTTCTGCATCTCTCCTTTGCTCACACGAGTTTTCTTCTGGATCGCTCTTTCTGCGGTGTACGTTAGATCCGCTGACGGCGGCGCGGCCGGCGCGGCGGAGAGAAGGAGGCACGCGTGCGCCTTCTGTGCCCGCTTGACAGGGCCCCTGCAGGCTGTCGTCGCCGCCGTCGTCGTCGTCGCCGTTTTCCTTATCCTCTCCCTCCTCCCTCCCTCGCCCCGTCCTCCGCCCTCCCGCCCCCAATAGAAGCATACGGAGAAAGAGCGGAGTGAGGGAGGGGAGGATAGATTGATGGGGGGGAGTTCACCGGACGGGGCAAGGACAACAAATCCGTTCTAGAGCCTTCCAGAACGCCCAGAACCTTTTGGAACGCTCTGAGAAGGCAGCGGCGCCCGAGACATTCTCCAGAGCCGCTGGATCTCAGAGTGTGTTGATTTGTCCTCGCCCGATTTTGTCCTCGTTCTGGCTCCCTCTTAGGAGTAGCACAGTAGAGGGGGGAGGATCAGGCGAGGGATCATGGGAGAGGCGCGGCGGGGTGGAGGAGGGAGGGGGGGGATGATGGAGGGAACTGGGTGAACGCACGAGGAGGAGGAGGAAGAGGACGAGGAGGAGGAGAGACGACATTAGGAGGGTCCAGACCCCATCGCGTTGTGAAATTCACGACGTGATCCGTTTCACCATTTTCCGCCTCCTGGGGGCCCTCATTGGGCCCCGAGACCGTCAAGAGGCGGCTCGGAATGGAGCACGGGTCCCGGGGAGGGGGCCGAGAGCCCCGGGGGGTCGAGGTCGCGCAGAACTCACGACGACGTCGGAGGCCCGGGGGACGGGCAGGATGACGAGGCGGCGGACGAGCAACACCGTGGGGGGGGGGGCGGAGGGGAAAACAGAGACCACGGGGAACTTGGCATCGCTCGGACGTGTGCATTTTTTCTCGGCGACGGCCATCGAGGAGCATCCGAAGGATTGCAAAAAAACTCGAAGGATTGCAAACAAAAACCAGGATGGCAAAAAACCCGAAGGATTGCAAAAAAAAACCCGAAGGATTGCAATCCTTCGATCATTTGGGCATCGAAAGAAAACACGTCCGAGCGATGGCCAGGGAATGGGGGGCCGAGGAGGGCGGGCGCGGGGCGGGCCTGCACAGCCCTGATGATCCGGGCCACAGGGAGGGGGGCGCCGCCCTCCTCCTCCTCCTCCTCCTCCTCCTCCTCCTCCTCCCTCCTCCTCCCTCCTCTTCCCTCCTCCTCCTCCGAGCCTCCTCCCCCCTCTGTTTCCTCCGTCCCTTCGAGGTTAGGATGAGCGGCTGGGAGGGGATGGGGCCATGGTCTAGGCTTATGTCGGGCGTGTCCCCCTACAGGGGGATTTTCGATTCATACTCAGAAATTCCCCAGGCATGCCCCAAGAAGGGAAAAACAGATTCAAAAAATAGTCCCCAGACTATTTTTGAACTATTGTTTGATTAATGTTGATGTATTTCCTATTTTTCGTCGAAAGTCCCCCTGTAGGGAGACACGCCCGACTTAAGTCTTGGCGTCTTAGGTGGGGTCGGAGTAGATGGGGTCGGAGGATCGCGCCGCATCGCCGATGCATCGCCGATGCGGCTCGACGTGGAACCCGACATGTTTCACGTCGACGTCGCCGATGTATCGCCGACATCGACGATGCATCGCCGGTGCATCACCGATGTAGCGATCCTCCGACCCCATCTACTCCGACCCCATCTAGGAGGTCTCTATATGGTGGGCTCCCGATCTAGGATAGCGCCGTCGATCGGATCCGAAATTAGGAGGCATCGTACCTTTACCTCCAAGGCAACCTGGCTAGAAAGGGCCCCAAGAGGGTGCCTTCTGTAGACTCAGGCACGCTGGTTTGCATGCCATTTCCCCCCGTACCCCTCCCCCCCTCTCCGCCGCACAGGCGTGCGTGAAGTCCAGGTTCCCTTTGAGCCTTTGGGGCCTCGCCAAGTTTCTGCCCCCCCTATGCAAGTCAACTTGACAGATTCTGAGGAAAATCAGCCTCTCGGGAGTGATAGGCGTCGCACTCTTCCAGGCGCCTGGCTCTTCAAAAGGGCCCTGAGATGCAGCGAGGGCCGCAGGCGTGGAGGGAGGAACAACTCGAAGAGGCACAGACAACGAGCAGAGAGAGAGGACGATGAGACAGCTGAGTGGTGGGAGCTGGATGGCTGACGCTGGGGGGAGAGAAGGCACACCACCTCCACCAGGCTGGGTCCATTTCGATCCGATCGACCCGACTCGATGCCGATTCTGGCCGGCCCGATCCAAGATGAGTCCGATATTCCGCTGGCCCGATCCGGCCCGATGTTTGCAAGTCCATAAAGCGGCCGATCCGATTCCAATGCCGCGCCTATGCCGGCCGATCCTATGTATACTTCGATCTGACTAGATTCTCGATTTACCGATTTCGATTCTGACCGACCCTCGTCTCCAGCGAGGGTCCCCCCTGCCAGGGGGGCATCGCATCTCCAGCGAGGAGCTCCACGATGCCTCCCGGAGCTGGAGAGAGGGGACGTCTCGAGCGAGAGGAGGGGGGGGGGGGCATACCACCACTGTGGGACACTCCCTGGCTCCTCCCGATGGTGACCCTGGTGGTGGTGGTGGTGTCGCTTTTCCCAGTCCCCCTCGCGTCGTGCACAAAAATCACGACGGAACGCTTTCCTTTCTATTTGTCGGCCTTCGGAGCCCTCGCCGGGCCCCGGGACCGTCAGGGAGCGACTCGGGATGAGAGACCAGTCTTGGGGAGCGGGTGGAGAAATCACGACGCTGTGAAAATCACGACGTCGGAGGTCTGGGGTTCTAAAATCCCATGCCTCTTGTTCTGAGACCCCTATTTGGATCGCCGCGATGGCTGTGAAGGGGATGGAGGGTTAGAAGCGGATGCTAAAGTTGGTTCTTATCTTGTCTAAACCAACATATAAGTGGGTTACCAGTGCCTTATGTGTGTAACTCTGTCAAGTCGGCTCCGCCCACTTCGCCCAGATCTGTACGCCCTCGAGCAACTTAGGGCACGTGTAACCCACTTCGAAGCTGGGTTAGGCAAGATAAAAACCACTTTAGCATCCACTTGTACTCCCCTATCCTTTTAGTAAGCCCTGCGGCGACAAATCGACGTCATGAAACAAAAACATGACTTCGGGGGTCAAGGCTCTCTGAGGGTTCAGACTCAGGCAAGTTCACTTGCATGGCAGTTTCCCCCCCTCCTCTCCCCTTTGCCGCCTCTTCAAGCTATGCCTGGCGGAAACAGGGTGCAAGTGAGTCCCGGCCTGCGTGAAGTTTACATTCCTTGACGGGCCTCGCCAAGACCCCCCGCTCTCCTCCCTCCATGCAAGCAGACTCACCAGTTTCTCTAGAAAAACAACTTCCTGATCCCAGACATCCGGCTGCTCCAATTTGTTCGATGCGTGGGCCCCGGAGGTCCGGACCGCTTCCCTAGCGCCGGTTATTTGCCCCGAGTTGTTTTCTGACGCTCCTGAGGCCCATCGAGGGCTTCCAGAAGCCGAAAACGGCCAAATACCGCCAGCTCTAATTTTTTCGGAGCGTCGGACCTCTAGATCGCCGAGGGGGTTGCTAAGAGGACCGGGGGATACGAGTGACTGCTAAGGTGGGTTCTATCCAGCCTAACCAGCTTGAAGTGGGTTGCACGT